CTGATGGGGGGGGGGGGAACCCCCTCCGCCAATCAGCGGGCGCCATCCAGCTCAAGCCGCCCAGCGCGCCGGCACGTGCGCCGTTCGGCGGGGACAGGCCTCGTGCCGGGCCCCTCAGGCGTGGGGGCAGGGCGACACCCGCGCGGTGCCTTGTCCCTGCAACAGGGCGGGGGGGGCCTTGTAGCGCGGCAGCGGCGGCAGCGGGGCGGGAGGAGCAGGCGAGACGAGCCCTCGTGCGGGCGGGATGGTTCGTGTGGAGACAGCAGCGGGTGGACTAGATGACGCCGCGCGAGACCCCTGCCCTTCAGCCCACCCCGGGAATGACGCGGGAGCGGCCTGAGGAAAGGACCGGGCTGTCCCCGAGGGGGCTGGGATCTAGTCACGTTCCCGCCAACCGCCCGGCCTGGCCCCGCCCCTTCTCCTCAGCGCCGAGGGTGCTCGGGCGGGAAACGCAGCCTGAGCCCCCCCGCGCCGCCATGTTACCCGCGCCCCGCTCTCCCCGCACTGCCACACTCCTCCACACCACCTCCCCCCCGGCCGGGCCCGGGCACGGCACACCACACCCAGCACCCGGTCCTCGCACATTTCCACACCCAGTTCCTTCAGGAGCCCACAACGGCTCCACTTTCCACAGAAAAAAATCCTCTCAACATGACTGAATCCCCGCCTCGCACACCTGGCCGCGAAAACACTCCCGACCAGCGCGCAGTGCTGCGCGTGGAAAGAAGTCGCCACCTCACCACACACTTTGTGTCTCACCACACCATTTTGCACAGAAGTGTCACCATATCTCCACAGACTTGCACAAGGAGGTGTGGGGGGAAGCAAGAATCCAGTTTCTCACAGAAATATCATACTTCCCCCAAAAGTTGACAAATCACCACAAACACATCACCACAGCGGTCCTCACAAAACCCTCGCCACAGTCCCAGTCCCCGAAGCGTCACACCGTCTTCTCCCTGAGAACAGACTTTTTTGTGGGGATTTTTTTTGGTTAGAAACGGGGCAAGTTGCCTTTTGTCCCCTCTCTGCCAGCAAGGTGGCAGGGAACATCTCCAGCCTCCAGCCGCGCGTCTTTGAGGGGCTGCCGTCCCTGAGACGCGTGCAAGGGGCACGCCTGTCCCGGAGCCGCACGGCCCGCGCCGGAGCCGAGTGCCGGAGGCCGACGGGTGCGGGGCCAGGCCGTTGTGAGGGGAGCAGAGCTAGAACAGGCCTGAGGGCTCTGTTGGGGGAGAGCAGGCAGGCCGCGGGGCACAAGGAGCTGAGGGTTGGGACGGGGGGGGCACTGACAGAAGCGGGGGGTTTGTGCGAGGAGCGCAGGACTGGAGTAGCGCGGCCTGAGGCAGGAGTGAGGGGCACCACTGAAAAAGTGAGGTCCCGAGGGTTGGGAGTGAGGGACAGCGGTGAGACATGGGGGGGCTGTGGGCCGAGAGTGAGGGGCGCCACTGGAGAACGTGGGGGCTGAAGCATAGAAGGGCACTCCTGGCTTTTCCAGAGCACAGGCTTTGAGACCAGACGTGCGAGTGTTTGCTGCTGAGCACTGCAACGCAGACGTCTGCTACCGGCCAAAGCTGAGCAGGGAACAAACCCCCAACCCCCATCGCAGACGGCATGAAAACCAGCATCGGAGCCAACACCAGCAGGGAGCTCGTGGATGACATGCTGACCATCTCAGTGCCCTGCGAGCAGCATGGAAGGATCTTGCCTAGTGCCCCCAGCCTCACGTCAGCAGAGGTGGTTTGTGCCTGCCCGGGGCAATTCGGAGGAGAGCGAGAGCCAACCCCTACACTGAGCCCCTAACTCCAAGTGGGGAGTGGGCACCAGCAGTCGGGGTAATCAGTCATTTGTGTGTCTGCCCTGCAGGAGGACACACCGCTGGTGCGGGAGGGGACGAAGCTGCTGACTGAGCCCACGGCCGGGGTAGGGGTGGCAGCTGTGCTCTCCCCGGGATCCCAGCAGATGCACCGGAGATGAGGGACATCTGCATCGTGCTGCGTGGAGGAAATGTGGACCGGGGCTCCCTGGCCTGGCTCATGGGAGCTTGGGGCAAAGAAGCTGCAGGAAACGAGTGGCCTGCGGAGCCGCCTACCCCAGGGAGGGGACACAGGGCCAGGGCATTTCTGCGCTGTTGCTGTTTGTACCAGGGAAGCTCCAGCTACTAGTAAACCAGAGGCCACTCAGCACAAAAGGGCCTGGCTTTTGGGGAAGCAGGGGGAGCTCTTCCCTGCAGGGAGTGCGCAACGCCTAATGCCGCAGCCCTGCTCTGCCCTGCCCGTCCAAAGTAGGCCAAGGTAGGGGACGGAGCCAGAGAGCTCTGGCAGCCAGGCCCATGCACAGCCCATGCCCACAGAGCTTGGAGACCAGCCAGCTCCCCTACAATGAGAGCCTGGGCTCCGGCAGGATAGAACAAGCTGGGGCTCCTTCCTAACATATCAAGGAAACAGGAGGAAGCACAGGTGCCCTGGTGCAATCTGTGGGGTTTGAAACTTCCCAAAGAGAGAGCAAGCACAGCCTGCAAAGTCCAGAAGCTGCCACACCTGAGAACACAACAGCCACCTCCCAAAAATAAGCCAAACACTAGGACCTCTGTAGGCTGCACAATATATTTGCCATTGAAATAAATACCACGGAGGCTGCAGCAGCGTGGGAAGGCACTACGCTAACGCACGCCTGCACCCAGGAGACTCCTCGGGAATCCTGGACGCAGGTTCTGAAGAGCTACTCCATGTCCACCTCTGGCACGGGGGCAGGCTCCTCGTTTCTCACCCACGGCACTGGCCCTGGCACATGCGGGTCATACATCCACTTGGGAAAGACGCGTTTGTACAGGTTCATCAGCACCGTGTCCTGGGACTTCAGCTGTCCATCAAAGTGGCACTTCATGTGGCCATGGGTCCCTAGGCAAAGGGAGCAAGCAGGGCTGTGGGCAGCTCTCCCAGGTCAGGGAGGGGTTTGCTGGGCGTGAGCGGGTCCAGCCCACACCATGGAAGGAAAGCAGAGCAACCCACCTCCAAGCTTCCCTTACCTAGTGGCTCCTTGACGTGTCCCCTGCGGCCCCATTTTGTTCTCAGCTCAACAGGCTTAAACCACAGCACATCCTCTGTAGATCGAAGACAAGATGCATGCGAGACAGGCCAGGCCCTGGGCATATGCTGCCCATCTGGCTAGCTCAAGCTGTCACCCTACAGCAGCTATGGGTACAGAGTGCACACCAGGCTTCCCGCTGCACACTGACCATGGCTGCAGCAGGGATGGGCATGTCTGAAGTCCAAGAGCCTGCCAGCAGGCAGTGGGGGGAGACTACGGGACTGCCTGGGACATGCCAACATGAGCGGGACAGACCACCCCGACCTCTAGCCCTGCAGCACAGGGTTTCAGAGGCCCAGCTGTCTGCAAGCATGAACTGGACTTCCCTGTGGAAGCTGCAGGGCTCCCAGACGCACGGACTGCCCTGCCCCACCTGTGAGTACCGTACCTCTGTTAAAGAACATGTACCGCAGGAGGTCTTCCATTCCTGCCCCGGGCAGAGGTGTTAGACAACCTAACACTCGAGGGGCTCGGCCCACCCCCACCCCAGGGCCACAACCAGGGGGATGGGTCGCTAGGGCCACTGATCCAGGCAGCAGGTGAGTTCACCCTCCTGGACAGAGGCTGCGGCGCAGGGAGGACCTACAGCAATGCCAGAACCGGGCCCTGGCTCCATCCATCCAGACAGCAGGACCCTGCGTCAGCTCTGCCCCTCAAGCAGCAGACACCTGACTGCAGGAACGGGCACTCACGTCCCATTCAGGGTCCCTACCCACCACACACTCACGTACCATTCCTCCTCTGCTTGAACAGCAGCACCAAGGCGGGTGGGAAGGTGATGGGAGCATAAACTGTCACCACCAGGGCAGTGTCAGGCCTCAGGAAGCGCTCTGCTTTGTGCTTCTCAGCTAGAACGCACAAAGGGCAAGTGACGCTCAGGCGCTAGCCGGCAACGCACTGGGCAGCTCCAGGGCCCACCCGGAGCCAGGCAGCTCTGGACCCACCCACCCCGGTCAGGCTCAGCTCTGGGAGCACCCTCCAGCTGCAGGGAGCAAGGGTTCCCCTCAAGTCCCATTCTCCCCCCACCTCGGACAAGGAAGGCACAGAGATCACCCATGTAAACACTGGGGCAAGGCCCGGCCCGGCCCGGCCGCTGATGTTCCTCAGGGCCCTAGGCATCTGCACATGACCCGACGCACACATCCCCTACGGCACCGGGACCCATGCCCTCCTGGAAGCCTCAGCGCCAAATGGGTACATGTTCACAGAGTCCCTCAGCCACGTTCAGACATCATGGCCATGACATCACAGGCTTCCTGGAAGCCCCCACCCACCCCCTACACGCAGCTCCCCTGGGGTCCACCTGGCTGCAGACCCTGCCCACCTGAGGTGTGCTGGGAGTACAGGGCCGAGGCCCGGAAGCGCCTGAACCCACAGTGGAAGATCAGCTCCTCCTTGGCCTTCACTGGCTCCACGTTGCCTGGGTGCCGTCTCACCAGGAAGTGCAACACGGACATCTGCAGAGAGAGGCCGAGCCAAACTAACGTCAAAGCCTGAAACCACGGACATCGCAGCTGAGGTCTCCCCACAAAGCCAAAGCCCCAGTGCTGGTCACCCAACACTTCCCCACCCTGGGTCCTTCCCATGAGCCTCCACTTCCCTGCGGAAGAAGCCTCAGAGCCATAAAGGGCATCAGAAGATATCAGCCAGGTTCAGACATGCTGGCTTGACCCATCATTGGCAACTCCACCCTGCTCTACTCCAACCCCTAGGGCAGGACCTGCTCAAACCCAAGTAGTGCAGGGAAGTTTCAGCCCTATGCAACCAGATCCTGACATCCAGTAAAAGCAGAGACCCTTCGCCCAGGGCATCCAGAAGGCCAGGCCTGTGCCAACCACGTGGGAAAGCCATCACCCTCCTGCCAACAGCAGCTTTCCTGCTCTCCCGTGTGACTGCAGGTCACCAGTGTACTACATCTGTTCACCTTCTGCTCGTGGGGAAGCAGTGAGAATAGGACCAATGGCTTCCCCTGCCTGAAACTCTCCATTACGGACACAGGAACACTGGAGATGTGAAGTGTCACGTACCAGCCAACCTGTCAAGAGAGGGAGGAATCAGTGGAGATGCCTGTCCGGCAAGGGGGAAAGCAGGAGCACTAGGGCCAAGAAAACAGCACAAGCCAGGCTTTATCCAGGGCCAGGGACTAGAACTGCTGCCATTTCACTGCCAAACCCCACCGCCCACAACCCAGAGCAGGGCAGGGAATCGGTGGGTAAGGGAAAAGCAGATACCGCAGCTCCATCGATCTCTTCCTTCTCCAACTGCCGGAAGACATGCTTCCTGGTTCGGGAGAAGTCCTGGAACTGGAAGATCCTGGCGTAATCCCTGGGGAGGTTTTCTTTGGGATCCCATGGTGAGGTCCGGAAGCTCTTGAGCCCCCTGTACTTCTGGAAGCTGCGGGCAGAAGATCTGCTGAGCAGCCGAAGCCTCTCGATTCTTGTGGCATCCAGTAAGCGTGTTCCCCACAAGGGCTGCCTGCCTCCTCCTCTCCAGGAAGGGGCTACTTACCGGACTCTGGCAGGCATGTCACGGGGCGTGTCCACCTCGTCTGGGAACATTTCATCTGTTCGCTCCTGCCTGTACTTCTCCAGCACCTGCTCATCCTCCTCCACCCTCTCGTCATACTGGTCGTCACGGGCAGACTCTGGCAGAGTCATGGTCTCGCACTCGTCCTCCACGGGCTCCTCCTCCTCCTCCTCACTGCTCTCCCCATCCTGACACGGGGCAGCACAATCGGCACATGGCGTGCAGGAACCACTGGCAGTGTACACCTGCAGATGCTATCTGCGCAGCTCTGCAGGGGCTGCCGGCCTATCACAGTGCCAAGGGGAGCCCCAGACAGAGCTCAGGGGAGAGCAGGCAAGCAACGGGGATTAAACTCCTTTTACCCCTTGGAGACTGGGAACCTGGGTGGCTCTCAGTCTGCCCTCCCTCTTCCTGTCAGAATACAGGTTTGCTTTGGGACAAGTACCACAGCGCTCAGACACCAGGTGCAACATCACCCACATCGCTTACCTGAAAAGCCTCTTCCTCCATCAAGTCATCCTCCTCCATGCTGTCACCATCTTCATCTTCCTCACTGCCATCTTCTTCGTCATCCACAATCCAGGCAGCCTGGTACTTCGACGTTCCCTTGGGGACCTTCACTGTCTTCCTTCTCTCCTTTACAGCCTCTGCCAGATTACCCGCCCCGTTAGCACTGTTCAGGCTTCTCCTTCCCCTTGCACCAGAAGAGCCAAGCCAGCCCTAGGCTGCCATTGCTCTCTTCCCTTTACGCATTAGGGCAGCTACACGAAGAGGACGCGGCTTTAAGCATGTGAAAGGATTCACAAGGTGCCTTTCACTACACAGGAGAGCCAGGAAACAGAGCCTGCGCTTCCATGGGACCTCAGGGAACATGAACCATGATGCCAGAGTGCAGGAGAACCGCACCACCCGAGGAACACACAGAAAGCTCCCCTTCCTGACTCAGCCACTGCACATACGTTTCAGCTACTACACCACCATGGCCTGAGTCCAGCTGTCCAGCCAGCCTGAGCCCAGAGGCAAATTCAGTAAGCCAGGCAATCCAAAAGCCAAAAGACGTGGAGTCGGGGTTCTAAGCCAAATGATTTCATCGGGACCAGTAACTCCCCCCGACACAAGCATCTCAGAGAAAACAAGCGCACCCCCAAGAGCCTGCAGGAAAGCCCAGGAAGGACTACTGCTACTGACCCTCTGCCTCCTTCAGCTCCTCCTCAGTAGGCCAGGTCTGCTCTCCCTCCATGGGGTCCGGAACCACCTCCGACTGCAGCAGCTCTTGCCTGCTAGGATCCGCCTTCATCAAGACCTTCACGTCCTCCTCCATCTGGACAGCACTGTTTCCAGGCTCATCCTGGAAAGCAGAAGGAAGCCGGGATGCCCCCGCGTGTGAGCCCAGCCCACTCCAGCAGCAGACCAGCTCACAGCAAAGGACAAGATCACCCCACAGCCACCTCCAACCTCAGCAACCCCATGTCACCGCACCCAAGACAGATGCTGCGCTCCACCCAGAGCTCTCGTGGCTGAAATTACATGAACACCTCCAGCCTGTCAATTCCTCACTTCCCAAGCTGGCCAGGTGTGCTGCATAAAGCCTGCAGCAACCACCCAAGGCTTCTAAATAATCAGCAAGGAGCAAACTGGGCTGGCCGGGCCAAGCGAAGCCCAGAACACCATCCCACCTGTATTTCCATATCCTGGCCCTTCCTCTCTGGACGTTTAGCCGCTCGGGGGTTGAGACACAGAGGGTCTGGAGGCGCATCAACCTGACTCATCTGGAAGTCTCCCTGTCCCACGATGTGCACAAGGCTGTTCGCGTTGAGGGGCTGTCCCCGAATGAAGCCAGATACTTTCAAGGTGCCAACCAGGTCGCTTTCCTGGCTGGGCACAAACTCAGCGGCATGGGCAAGCAGGTAAGCCCGCCTGTCACGGAAAGCAAGGTGCCGCTGCTTCTGGGCAGCCAGATGCCTCAGCAGCAGCAAAGATTCCTGCTCTGTGTTCAAGGGGAAAAGCTTTGCCTCTGGGAATCGCTTTTCAATGGCTTTGCTCAGCTTCTTCTTAGCCTCTGTCTGCTTCTTTGGTGGAAGATCAGCCATTCCCTGGACAGCAAGAGCTAAAAAGCAGCACAGAAAACAGCAGCGTTAACAGCCAATACTTCTGCTACCCACAGTCAACCAGCTAACACGCGGTTCGATATAACGAGCGGGCAGCAGCCTGGGTGTAGGGCAGCTTTCATGCCTCGGCATCACTGCCATTACCCAGACAGACAACGCTCCTGGAGCAAGAGCGAGAGCCTTCGCCCAGCTAGCCAGCATTCACACAGCCAGAACCAAGAGCTGCCAAACAGGCCTGTGGGTCGCCGCATGCGCTGCCTAGAAACGTCTCTCCCTGCTCTGCTCCGTGTATGCCTTGAGGCTGGCAATTCACCTACCGCAGCTGGGGAGCCCCTGTGCGAAAAGGCAAGAGAGGCAGTTCTCCCCCGCGCTGTCCCAGCCGTCCTCCAGGTGCAGCACGAACAGCAGCGAGTCTGCAACCTTGGCCAGGTCTAGCACCGTGTGGAAGTCCCCTGCAAACGGGGCGATCGTTAGGACGGAGCAGCGGGCGCTCAACAAGCGCTCAGCAGCCCACAGGCCAGGGGTCCCTTACCGGCGGGCGCCAAAACGAA